CGCGATGAGTCAATAAACGAGGTCATTTAATTAACAAATAACATCTACATTCTGTAGGTTTCTCTGGCTACCCACCCGCTGATAGGGGAAAAGAAGAAAGAAGGAAAGTAGTTCATGGCTGCATCTTCCTATTGGAGTGAAAGGTGTGAAATACATTATGAAAATTGAACATGTTAAAACCCGAGTGAGTGCATTCTGTTGAACGCATAGATCCAAAACTCCTATCTGCACTGTTGCCCGCGCTGCCAGTGGCAATCCGTGTCTGATGGATCCGCATCCGATCCGCATTCATCTGTCCCCGGAGCGCCCTGCTGTCATCAACGCCGGGACGATGGATTTGATCCACGCAGCTGGCAACAGAAAAGAATAAAAACAAGCAACACCCTGGATGCAGGCAGGCCGCGGGAGGGAGGGAGGGAGGGGCAGGATATAGCGCTCATCTCGTGCGTCTGTCTAGTCAAACTGTCCGCGGGCGGCACGCGGCCTGATCGATGGCGCCCATTATCTTGTTGTCCATCACTTTATTGTATTTGCGCGGATGGCGCCGGGGCGGGCCGGCGCAGTGCGCGGGGCGGGGCGGAGCACGGCGAGCGCCCGACGGAGCGCGTGTAGGCAGACCCGTTGCTCGTCCGTGCGCGGGCGGCGGCCTACCCGTCCCACCAGCAGGGGCTCCGCCGGGCTCAGCCGCGCGCCAGCCGCCACCACACCAGACCAGGGCCTGAAGCGGGGCCAGAGCGGCGGGCGCGGCAGGGTCACTCGCGAGGATTAAATGGTGGCGCACTGAACAACACAAGCACCCACACACGCGAGCGCGAGCACACACACACACGCGTTCGGTCCCACGGGCGACAACGTGGCTATGCTGTAGCGTAACGAGCTACGCGCCTGCATCGCGCCAGCTGCGGAGGACAGAGAAGGGGAGCGTTCGGTATATGAGAAGTATGAGAAATGCGGCCCAACAAGCGCGCTCGCCATGGCACCACGGCCACCACGGCATCAGCCCCGCACTGCTCGCGCCCGCCGGCACGGCTCCGGGGCGCGGCCCCTTAAGCCCTCTGCTCCCAGAGGAGAGGCCGTCCTCTTCCCGGCCCCGCGGCCCCTCCAATGCGAGCTGATAAGGGCGAGACCTGATTAGAACACGCAGCGACGTGCGTGCGGTGGGGCGGCGGGGCGGGGGTGGGGACATGGAGGTCGGCTTTAGCCGCGACGGCGCCGCCCCTCCCCGCCACCACCTCGTATAGCAGCCGCCTATTGCCTATACCCAGCGGACAACTGTTGCACGGCCTGCACGGCCCCCAACGCGACGGCGGCCAGGCGTTTGATGGCCGGTGGCGAAGCGTCGCGGTGCGGGGCGGAGTGGGGTGGGGTTAACAAGCCCCAGGTGGCCTGGGCAGACCGGCCTCAGCACAAACACACCTCCACACGAGGGCGGCAGAAGCGCGTCCTAGCTCGTATTTTCGCCCCAATTTTTATCACGCGTGACGTGGTCAGCAAAACGAACGCGGCGGCGACGACGCCGGAACCCCCATCCCCATCCACCTCCACCACCGCCCCCTTGTCCTGCTCCCCGCGCACACACGGCCCGTCCGCACCACACACCTAATTTAACACAACAGCGTTCCGCCGCGCCGCCGGGCCCGAGCCGGCTCCATCCCCAGCCGCCCTGATTGCTTGCGATTGAGGATTCACTTTCCCCCGCCGCCGCCGCCTCGACGTCCACCCTCCTCCGCGGCCTCCCTCTGCGCCACCTCCGCGTCCAGCCTCCTCCACCTCCGCCCTCCAGCGCGCCCTCGCTCCTCCACCTACCTCCGCCCTTCAGTGCCACCTCCCTCTTTCGCTCCGCACCTCCTCCTTCGCGGCCTCTCTCTGCGCCACCTCCGCGTCCATCCCCCTACACCTCCGCCATCCAGCACGTCCTCACTCCTCCACCTCCACACACCAGTGTGTCCTCACTCCTCCACCCCCTCCCTCCAGCGCGTCCTCACTCCTCCACCTCCGCCATCCAGTATGTCCTTCCTCCAGTGTGTCCTCACTCCTCCACCGCCTCCCTCCAGCGCGTCCTCGCTCCTCCACCTCCACCCTCGACCGCGTCCTCGTTCCTCCACATTACGGCGTCCCCGAAGGCCAAGGTTCATCCTCTGCTGCGCCGCGCCGGAGTGAATCGACGAGAGGCGGCCGGGAGAATTGGTGGCCCTGGAGGGAGGAGGGGCAGCCCCTCGCCCCCTCGTCCCCTGCCTTCCTCGCCTCGCGCCGTGCCTGGTCTGCCCCCCCCCCCTTTTTCCATCGGATTGGCTGCTTGTTGCAGCGGGGCCATCAGAATATAACGAAAATCCAAAATAATGAGTGCCTTGTCGTCGTGTAGAGGAGAACCATCGCGCGCCCTCTCCCAGGCAGCTCGAAGATTGGGAGATGCCCTTGGGTCGGGCGGGGCGGGGCGGTGGATGTCTATATGCTGTAAGTGCGAGGGGGGTAGCACCTGCCGAGCACCTGCCCGATAACTCTAAGCGCACCTCACCCTCACACGCCTGCCCCCGCACCCCTGCCGACACACCGCGCCGCCACATCCCACCGCCGGTGGGCTCCATGGAACAGACGAAGCCGGCGACGGGCAGCGTCCACTAATAGCCCCTCCAGCTAGCCGCGCGGCCGCGGGGCAGGGCAGGGCTCTGCCTCTGCCCCCTGTCCCGCCCCGCCGGCCCGCCCCCGCCCGCTTAGCCCGACTAATCCGCCGGCCACATCCGCGCCGCGGCGCTGATGCGCCAACAGCGCAACAGCGCCTCGCTGTTTTGTTAGCGCCCGTTCACTAATGTCGGCGCCCAGCGGGGTGCTCAGCATTGTCTCCAGCCGGCGGCACAGCGGGGAGGGGGCGAAGCTGCCCACATCCTACGCGCTCACTCTCACACACATTTTCAAATGGCAAAGTCCTTTCCTTTACCGACAGGAAACGAGTTTTGCCGATGATTGCCAATTCGGAATTGCAAATTATTGTCACTACCAACGTATGCACTTTCACAAAGGCCGAAATCGACAAAGTTTTCGGCAATAATAGACCATTTCAGTCTCGGTGACAAGAAGAAGAAGAAAATAATAACCGAAACAGGAAACAGTTGGGCGAGGGGCGAAGAGGGACGCAGGGTGTGGAGCGGTGTGGAGTGAAGGCAGTGCTTTTCCGGTTTGTTATTCTTTTCTCCTTCTTATCACCTAACCTGAAATGGTCTATTGAATGAAGCTCCATGGTTTTCAAGGCTGGTTCATCACTGAAAATTTGTACTTTTCCCATGACATGTTCGCTGCTCTCCAGGAGACATTTTCCTCGCACCCTTGCCCCACAATCTGATAGGTAATGTTGGTTTGTCTCTGTTGCAGGCCTTCGGGAGCTCTACCAGCAGCTGCTGGAGGCGGGCGCGGCGGCCGGCCCCGGGGAGGGCTCCGCCGGCTACGCTCAGGGCTACGACCAGGGCCCCGCGCCCGTCGGCCTGCTCAGCCTGCTCGGCGGCGGCGCGGGCGCCGGGGCGGGCGCGGGCCTGCCCCTCGCCAACCACCAGCTCGTCCGCAAGTCCAACCGCACGCCGTCGCTGCGCCTGCGCTACGGACGACGCTCTGACCCCGCGATGAAGGTGAGGTGAGCATTTCCCTCTCTGTCCCGGAACGTGACGAACGTGACCACACGCGTGGCCGGTAACGGTAGCGTGACGACGGTACGTGACGCATGCCGGCTGTGTGTCGTGCGCCCCCCCCCCCACCCGCTTCCTCCCTTTTTTGCCCTTTCCCACAACAAGCGTAAGAATAAATTTGACACAAAAAAATAACTGATGCAGGACCAGGTGAACAAAGCCAGCTGTTCGTTTGCATGAGGCCGGTCCCCAATGAGCTCGCTTCGTGTATTTACAATAGGGTGGGCTTGGCTTTCCTCATTACGCCCGCCTATTACGCCCTC